CAGCCATACATGCCCACGCCATGACACTACCACCACCATGCTTCACTGATGAGGTGGTATGCTTAGGATCATGAGCAGTTCCTTTCCTTCTCCATACTCTTCTCTTCCCATCACTCTGGTACAAGTTGATCTCGGTCTCATCTGTCCATAGGATGTTGTTCCAGAACTGTGAAGGCTTTTTTAGAGGTCGTTTGGCAAACTCTAATCTGGCCTTCCTGTTTTTGAGGCTCACCAATGGTTTCCATCTTGTGGTGAACCCTCTGTATTCACTCTGGTGAAGTCTTCTCTTGATTGGTGACTTTGACACACATACACCTACCTCCTGGAGAGTGTTCTTGATCTGGCCAACTGTTGTGAAGGGTGTTTTCTTCACCAGGGAAAGAATTCTTTGGTCATCCACCACAGTTGTTTTCCGTGGTCTTCCGGGTCTTTTGGTGTTGCTGAGCTCACCAGTGCGTTCCTTCTTTTTAAGAATGTTCCAAACAGTTGTTTTGGCCACGCCTAATGTTTTTGCTATCTCTCTGATGGGTTTGTTTTGTTTTTTCAGCCTAATGATGGCGTCACTGATAGTGACAGCTCTTTGGATCTCATTTTGAGAGTTGACAGCAACAGATTCCAAATGCAAATAGCACACTTGAAATGAACTCTGGACCTTTTATCTGCTCATTGTAATTGGAATAATGAGGGAATAACACACACCTGGCCATGGAACAGCTGAGAAGCCAATTGTCCCATTACTTTTGGTCCCTTAACAAGTGGGAGGCACATATGCAAACTGTTGTAATTCCTACACCGTTCACCTGATTTGGATGTAAATACCCTCAAATTAAAGCTGACAGTCTGTAGTTAAAGCACATCTTGTTCGTTTCATTTCAAATCCATTGTGGTGGTGTATAGAGCCAAAAATGTTAGAATTGTGTCAATGTCCCAATATTTATGGACCTGACTGTACCTCCCTCTTCAGGACTTACTCCTCTCTAGTACTCCAGTACTCAGTCGTTCAGTAGTCATCTCCCACTCTGCTGCTCACACCCCTCTCTAGTACTCACTTCACTCTCCGCTACTCGCCAACCTTTGCATTACTTTCCAACCTCACTGTTACTCACCCCTCTCTCCAGTACTCAACTCCCTCTCAGCTACTCACCACCCTTTCCATTACTCACCCCCTCTCCACTACTCTCCAACCTCTCTGGTACTCACCACCCTCCCCAGTAGTTTCATCCCTCTCTGGTACTTGCCACCCTCCCCAGTAGTTCCACCCCTCTCTGGTACTCGCCACCCTCCCCAGTAGTTCCACCCCTCTCTGGTACTCGCCACCCTCCCCAGTAGTTCCATCCCTCTCTGGTACTCGCCACCCTCCCCAGTAGTTCCACCCCTCTCTGGTACTCGCCACCCTCCCCAGTAGTTCCACCCCTCTCTGGTACTCGCCACCCTCCCCCAGTAGTTCCACCCCTCTCTGGTACTCGCCACCCTCCCCAGTAGTTCCACCCCTCTCTGGTACTCGCCACCCTCCCCAGTAGTTCCACCCCTCTCTGGTACTCGCCACCCTCCCCAGTAGTTCCATCCCTCTCTGGTACTCGCCACCCTCCCCAGTAGTTCCACCCCTCTCTGGTACTCGCCACCCTCCCCAGTAGTTCCACCCCTCTCTGGTACTCGCCACCCTCCCCAGTAGTTCCACCCCTCTCTGGTACTCGCCACCCTCCCCAGTAGTTCCACCCCTCTCTGGTACTCGCCACCCTCCCCAGTAGTTCCACCCCTCTCTGGTACTCGCCACCCTCCCCAGTAGTTCCACCCCTCTCTGGTACTCGCCACCCTCCCCAGTAGTTCCACCCCTCTCTGGTACTCGCCACCCTCCCCAGTAGTTCCATCCCTCTCTGGTACTCGCCACCCTCCCCAGTAGTTCCACCCCTCTCTGGTACTCGCCACCCTCCCCAGTAGTTCCACCCCTCTCTGGTACTCGCCACTCTCCCCAGTAGTTCCACCCCTCTCTGGTACTCGCCACCCTCCCCAGTAGTTCCACCCCTCTCTGGTACTCGCCACCATCCCCAGTAGTTCCACCCCTCTCTGGTACTCGCCACCCTCCCCAGTAGTTCCATCCCTCTCTGGTACTCGCCACCCTCCCCAGCAGTAGTTCCACCCCTCTCTGGTACTCGCCACCCTCCCCAGTAGTTCCACCCCTCTCTGGTACTCGCCACCCTCCCCAGTAGTTCCACCCCTCTCTGGTACTCGCCACCCTCCCCAGTAGTTCCATCCCTCTCTGGTACTCGCCACCCTCCCCAGTAGTTCCACCCCTCTCTGGTACTCACCACCCTCCCCAGTAGTTCCATCCCTCTATGATACTCGCCACCCTCCCCAGTACTTCCATCCCTCTCTGGTACTCACCACCCTCCCCAGTAGTTCCATCCCTCTCTGGTACTCACCACCCTCCCCAGTAGTTCCATCCCTCTCTGGTACTCACCACCACCCTCCCCAGTACTTCCATCCCTCTCTGGTACTCACCACTCACTCTCCTGTATCTACCTCTCTCTCCAACTGCTCGTCTCTCTTCTCCATGCCCCCTCCATTGCTCACCACCGTGTCCAGTACTCATACCCTCCCTCTGTTGTACTGACCCTCTGGCTCCAGGTCGGTATCATACGGATCTGTCCAACTCTGCACACTGCCGGGGCACAATGACAGGCTCTGCAGCTCCTCACACAGTTTGGCCATCTTCTTCCCAGTGCGTGACAGATGCCATCGGCTCACTAAGCACCAGTACCTGATATGTCACCTGACCCCATCATTCAAACCCACCATCACTGCCTGCCTCGGTTCAAAGCCAACAGTTGATATGTCACCTGATCCCTTCACCTGAACCCACATTGTGTGCTTGGGATCAGAGCCAATACTTTATATATGGCCTGCACCACCTGCCTGGGCTCACTCAGCAATCAAGGAAGGAGAAAGCAGGAACTTTCTAGGACTCTAAACCCCTCCCCCCACATCATAGTGCACCAATTGCCCCTCCCATCCCCCCAACGGTCCACATGGTGCCACTTCTGCCCCGCTACCATCACCTGACCTCCTCCACTGGACCTCATGTTACACTAACTACCCTTCAGACCAACCATAACCTGACCCAGAACATCACTGCGTGTGGGAAGGGCGTCCCTTAAAATCATGTAGTGGGGAAAAGGGTGTCGCTGGGGATCAATGTGTGGGTGTCTCTGGAGATTAGTTGGGGGGGGGGTCCCTGGTGTTCACTGGGGGGGAGGGGGATGTCCCTGGAAATCAGTTTAGAGGAAGGTTGTGAGATCAGGGTGGGGCAAGTCGGGTGTTTCTGGAAATCAGTTTTTTTGGGGGGGGTGGTGACCTTAGGGATCAGTGTGCATGTGGGGGGTGTCCCTGAGGATCAGTGTTGGAGGGGGGGTGGATCTCCTTATGTATTTAAGGATCACTGGGGGGGGGGGCTGTCCCTGAAAATCAATTTGGGGAGGAAGGGATGGGTGTCCCTGAAGTTCAGTGTGGGGGGGAGGGGGTATCCCTAGAGATCAGCTGGGGAGCGGGGTCACCCTGGAGATAACTGTGGGGAGGAAGGGGGTGACACTAGGGATCACAGATGGAGGGCCCCCCCTGGAGATCGGTGCTGGGTGGTGTCGCCCGATAATGAGCGTGTCAGGGAGGAGGATGTCCCTGAGGATCAATTTGAGGGGAGGGGGATGGGTGCCCCTGGAGTTCAGTGGGGGAGGGAGAACGCATTCACAGTGGGCGGGACAACCGACGTTCCGCTCACCCGGAAATGACGTGTTTGTATTTTTGTTGTGACCGGAAGCACGTGGTGTGACTGAGCGCTTAGCGGAAGTTTATCGGAGCTGAAGAAAATCGGGTGTGTAGGTGGCGGGTGAGATACCCCAAAGTGGGCGGGGCGAGCAGTACCCCAAACACAGACACTTCTTGCGGGGCTTATGGTGTCAGTTTTCTGAGGGCTTATGGTGTCAGGGGGCCTTTGACGTCCTTAGCGATGGTCGGAGTCACACATGTCCCGGGTGAGGGGAGTTCTTCATTTGTAGAATATAATGACAGCGATTCCACTCCCACACAGGACAGATGATGGCGCTCTGCTGACATGGAGAGTGCATAGAGAACCACAGAGACCCCGACAATGAGGGAGGAGAAGACACCCCAAAATCGGCGGGTTGAGCAATGCCCTAAACACAGATACTGACAATTCATGTCGGGGCCCCTGCTGTCACTGTGTCAGTATACCAGGGGCCCTTGATGTCACTGTGTCAGTATACCAGGGGCCCCTCATGTCACTGTGTCAGTATACCAGGGGCCTCTGATGTCACTGTGTCAGTATACCAGGGGCCTCTGATGTCACTGTGTCAGTATACTAGTGGCCCCTGATGTCACTGTGTCAGTATACCAGGGGCCCCTCATGTCACTGTGTCAGTATACCAGGGGCCTCTGATGTCACTGTGTCAATATACCAGGGGCCCTTGATGTCACTGTGTCAGTATACCAGGGGCCCCTCATGTCACTGTATCAGTATACTAGGGGCCTCTGATGTCAGTGTACCGGGGCCCCTGATGTCACTGTGTCAGTATACCAGGGGCCCGTGATGTCACTGTGTCAGTATACCAGGGGCCTGTGATGTCACTGTGTCAGTATACCAGGGGCCCTTGATGTCACTGTGTCAGTATACCAGGGGCCCGTGATGTCACTGTGTCAGTATACCAGGGGCCCCTGATGTCACTGTGTCAGTATACCAGGGGCCTGTGATGTCACTGTGTCAGTATACCAGGGGCCCTTGATGTCACTGTGTCAGTATATCAGAGGTCCCTGATGTATTTTACTCATATACCATGGGCCCCTGATGTCTGTGTGTCAGTATAGGGGGGGGCCCGATGCTTTTGTATCAGTGATGTTTGGGGTCACACATGTCCTGGGGGGTAGGGTTTGTAGAATATAATGAAGGCAATACTGTTTCCACACAGGACAGATGATGGCGCACTGCTGATATGGAGAGTGCAGAGAGAACCACAGAGACCCCAACACTGAGGGAGGAGAAGAAGGCACCCCAGGTGGGGGGGTCCTGGGAAGAAGACCCGGCTGTGCTGGACTGGAAACTGCCCCAAGACAAGAAGGGTGGAGATGGGCAGCAGGAACGGAAATGGCAGATGGGGGACATAGAGGAGACCCTTCCACAGCCCATCATCTACCACGGTGAGTACAAACTGCCATATACACTGACATGTACACTGTACTACACACTGCCAAATATTCATACACACTGCCTAACACAGACACATTGGGGTGAATTTACTAAAGGCAAATAGACTGTGCACTTTGCAGTCGCACTCATTTTTATGAATGTGGTGAAGCTCTGCTGATTAACATCAACCAATCACGTGCAAACAAAAATTCTGTTGTGTTTTTTTTTATTTTTTTTTTATTTTCCCTGCACCTGATTGGGTATTCTTTACAAAATGAAGCTTCACCACTTTCACTAAACTTTTGGGAAAATGAATGCAACTGCACTTGCAAAGTATTTAAGTAACCCCATTGCTCTACACACTGCCTCACTCACTGACACACTTCCCTGTATTACTCAGTCAGTGCTGTGCTCTCTTCTGTCCCGGCAGAGATCCTGTGGAGGGATTGGCAGGATTTGTACAATCCGGATTTGGTTGCACTTGGTGAGAAGCAGTTTGATTTCACCGTCCTGTCCTACAATATTCTGTCTCAGGACCTGATCGAGCAGAACTCCCACCTGTACCAGCACTGTCCCCCCTCTATCCTGCACTGGGACTACCGCTGGCCCAACTTGCTCCAGGAGCTGCAGCACTGGGAGGCCGATGTGAGTCACCTCCTGTGCTGTACCTGTACCCCCTGTGCCATACCAGTCCTGCCTGCCTGTGCTATACCTGTACCCCCTTGCTCCTTCTGTGCCCCCGGTGTCATACCTGTACCCCCCCATGCTCATTCTGTATCCCAAGTGTCAAACCTGTACCCCCTTGCTCCTTCTATACCCTTAGTGTCATACCTGTACACCCTGTGCTCTCTCTGTACCACCTGTGTCATACTTGTACCCCCTGTTTTATACCTGTACCGCCTGTGTCATACATTTACCCCCAGTGTTATACCTGTACCCTCTGCGCTCTGTCTGTACCACGTGTAGTACCTGTGTCCACTGTGTCATCCCCTGTTATCTCTCTGCTCCTTATGTCATACCTGTATTGCCTGTGCCCCCTGTGTCATCCCCTGTTATCCCTCTGCCCCCCGTGTCATACCTCTACCCCCCGTGTCACATACAATTAATACTGATGGTGTCTTGCAAATAAAGTATATGAACAAACACAGGGGTGCTTAAACTGATTTCAGAGGGCCACCCCCTCCAAACCCAAATAACCACAATACTACATACATAACAATAATAAACATTACACAAAGTATCAGATGCATATACTGTAACAGTGAAAAATGAGATAAAGAGCAGAAAAATAATGTTTCAGATGCAAAAAGATTGGAGCCCAATCATCCAACATTTTGGGGTCTTCCTTGATAAAGGAGACTTGGTTCCACCAAAATGTTGGATCCTCCATTTTGTCACCGTGCCTGACTAAATAACTAGGCATTTTTGGGCCATCATCTTTGGTATGATTGCTATACTTTGTATCTGATATGTGTTTTTCGGCAGTTTTGTATCTCATGTTTCCATGTTACTGTGTACAAATATGATACTTTGGGTATTTCCCTGACTACTTTTGTATAGTACTTAAAGTGGTTTTATATTAAATACATTTTTACCTTAATGCATTCCCTGCATTAAGGTAAAAAATGTCGCAGTCTTTGTATCACCCACCTACTCCCCTAAATATTTACCTGAGTCCTTGCTCAATCCAGCATTGTGCTCATCTGTAGCGGCCTCTCTCCTTATAGGCTTTGCCGAGACAGTGGGCCATTGGCTCCTGCTGCCGACAGTCAAATCCTTTTCAGCGAGGGGCAGGGCTGTGTCTATGGACACACACAACCTGGCTCGGTAGCAAGCTCACACATGCTCCCCCATAACAAGCGACTTGCTATAGTGGAGAACGAAGAAGAGGAGGAGCCTAGAGTGGCAGCGGGGGACCCCAGAAGAGAGAGGAGACTTAGGACATTCTATGCAATTTCATTGTACAGAGCAGGTAAGTATAACATGTTTGTTATTTAAATATTATTTAAGCCTTTACAATCTTTTTTTAACTAAAGTGAAACTTTAGTCAGAAAATTAAGTCCCGCTAGATCACTTCATGCTGGCCCCCATTTGCAGGTAAAACATTAAAAAATAAATGCCTATACTGTTTCAAATACAGTAATAACACTGGCTCTCCCTGCTCTGCACATGCTCAGTTGCTCTCTATTTTTCGGCACTGTGCCAAATTTGTAGAGGCCAATCTGCTGACAGCCTAAAGATTTAATGCTTCTCAGGGGCTCTGGGCTTCAGCAAAAATAGCAGCTTCTAGTAGGAAGAAACAGGAACAATGCTGGTACCAATTTACAGCACACACTAATTCTGGTAGCCTAATTATTAATGTGGAATGTGTGTTCCATGCTAAAGAACTTTTTTTTTTTTATCAAGTTGTTATGGGTAAAGTTCCACTGTAACTTATTTGGTGCATCTAAACTGTAGTGGATGTGCTTACTTAATATTGTATCCCCTGTGTCATACCTGTACCTCCAGCATCACACTCATAACCACTGTCCCATACCTGTACTGCCTGTGTCATACCCACACCCCCATTATCATACTCATAACCGCTGTCCCATACGTGTATTGCCTGTGTCATACCTGTACCTCCACCATCACACTCATATTCGCTGTCCCATACCTGTACTGCCTGTGTCACACCCACACCCCCAGTATCATCCTCATAACCGCTGTCCCATACGTGTATTGCCTGTGTCACACCCACACCCCCATTATCACACTCATAACCGCTGTCCCATACGTGTATTGCCTGTGTCACACCCACACCCCCATTATCACACTCATAAACGCTGTCCCATACCTCTACTGCCTGTGTCACCCCCACACCCCCAGTATCACACTCATATCCGCTGTCCCATACCTGTGCTGCCTGTGTCATACCCACACCTCCAGCATCACACTCATATCCGCTGTCCCATACCTGTACTGCCTGTGTCACCCCCACACCCCCAGTATCATCCTCATAACCGCTGTCCCATACCTGTACAAACTGTGTCACACCCACACCCCCAGCATCACACTCATAACCGCTGTCTCATACCTGTACTGCCTGTGTCACACCCACACCCCCAGTATCACACTCATAACCGCTGTCCCATACCTGTACTGCCTGTGTCATACCTGTACCTCCAGCATCACACTCATATCCACTGTCCCATACCTGTACTGCCTGTGTCACACCCACACCCCCAGTATCACACTCATATCCGCTGTCCCATACCTGTACTGCCTGTGTCATACCTGTACTGCCTGTGTCATACCTGTACCTCCAGCATCACACTCATATCCGCTGTCCCATACCTGTACTGCCTGTGTCACACCCACACCCCCAGCATCACACTCATATCCGCTGTCCCATACCTGTACTGCCTGTGTCACCCCCACACCCCCAGTATCACACTCATATCCGCTGTCCCATACCTGTACTGCCTGTGTCACCCCCACACCCCCAGTATCATCCTCATAACCGCTGTCCCATACCTGTACGAACTGTGTCACCCCCACACCCCCAGTATCACACTCATATCCGCTGCCCCATACCTGTACTGCCTGTGTCATACCCACACCCCCAGTATCACACTCATATCCGCTGTCCCATACCTGTACTGCCTGTGTCATACCTGTACCTCCAGCATCACACATATCCGCTGTCCCATACCTGTACTGCCTGTGTCACACCCACACCCCCAGTATCACACTCATATCCGCTGTCCCATACCTGTACTGCCTGTGTCATACCTGTACTGCCTGTGTCATACCTGTACCTCCAGCATCACACTCATATCCGCTGTCCCATACCTGTGCTGCCTGTGTCACACCCACACCCCCAGTATCACACTCATAACCGCTGTCCCATACCTGTACTGCCTGTGTCACACCCACACCCCCAGTATCACACTCATAACCGCTGTCCCATACCTGTACACAGGCAGGGACTGATGATTGTGTTATTGATCTTGATGGAGAAGTCGGGGGGGCACGGGCTGGGGGGAATACTAAGCTCAGTTTTGGAAAGATTGAGTTTGAGGAAATGGAGTGATTGATATGTCACTCATAACCGCTGTCCCATACCTGTACTGCCTGTGTCACACCCACACCCCCAGTATCACACTCATAACCGCTGTCCCATACCTGTACTGCCTGTGTCACACCCACACCCCCAGTATCACACTCATAACCGCTGTCCCGTACCTGTACTGCCTGTGTCATACCCACACCCCCAGTATCACACTCATAACCGCTGTCCCATACCTGTACTGCCTGTGTCATACCCACACCCCCAGTGTTCTATCCATATTACCTGTACCTTATCTGTGCTATATCTCTACCCCCTATTTTATACCTGTACTGCCTATGTCATACCCACACCCCCCAGTGTTATTTCCATATCACCTATGCCATATCCATACTGCTTGTGCTATACCTGTACCTCCCACCCTTCCCCCACCCGTACTGCTTGTAAAGTATCTGTACCTCCTGTGCCATACCCATTACCTCCATGTCATATCTGTACTTCCCTTGCCATAAACTGCTTCTGTGTGTATATTAATGTATATTAATATTTGTGTGTGCGATTCGGGGGGGTCAGTAAAGTGTATGTTCCTCTGGTGCAGGGACTGATGTGACTGGCTCAGTATTCTCTGTACAGCACTACGGTATATGTCAGAATATATAATATATGATGTTTGATCTCTCCCAGATTCTGTGTCTCCAGGAGGTTCAGGAAAATCACTACAAAGATCAGATCCAGCCCAGCCTTAGTGCTCTGGGTAATGCTCCTCGTTGCCTCTCTTTGCAGCCACCAGAAGGGGGTGCTGTGTGCTGACGCCTCTTTTTCTCCGCAGGGTATAGCTGTCACTACAAGCGGCGGACAGGTCGGAAAACCGATGGTTGCGCCATTTGCTTCAAGACTCAGCGCTTCACTCTGCTCCTGGAAAGCCATGTGGAGTTTTTCCGGCCAGCTGTTGATGTCCTGAATCGTGACAATGTGGGACTGGTGCTGCTACTGCGGCCAGTGCTCTCTGAGGAGGCATCGGAGGGGCTCAGCCCCCCCAGCCTGTGCGTAGCCAACACTCACCTCCTTTACAACCCCCGCCGAGGGGACATAAAGCTGGCACAGTTGGCGCTCCTCCTGGCAGAGGTGGATAAGTTATCCAGTACCACTGAAGGTCAGCGATGCCCGATAATCCTGTGCGGAGATCTAAATGCAACGCCCAATTCTCCCCTCTACCAGCTGCTGCACAACGGTGTCCTAAACTGTCGTGGTCTACCAGCGTGGAAGGTGGGGGTTGGGTTTACCATAAAGGGATTGGCCATTTTCTTTATTCCATCTGACCATTGCTTTTTCTCCTAGGTGTCCGGTCAGGATCAGTACTGCGGAGTTCCACATTCCCGGATTTTGCCTTTCCCGCTGTGGCCGGATATTTTGGGTGTCAATGACCGCTGTCAATACACTGCCATGAGGCCACCAAAGGTCAAAGGTGAGATCACTTGTCCCCACCCTGTCCCACCGATGACCCAACAAGGGAGACTTATATCTCTGATTTGTTTTTGTGCTATTAGATAGGAAGATATACACCCGCCAGCGCATCTTGGAGTTTCGGTATTGTGAGTGTGCCCTTCAGCGTCCTCAAAACCTTGTGCTGATCAAGGGGGTGACAGACAATAAGCCAGGTGGGTGAATGTTGGGAGAATACGATCAGGAGATAGAAACGTTTTCTCCACTATGACCCCTGTAACCTCTTCCCCACCTATGTCTGACAGATCCACAGGCATCTGCGGCCCAGGCAGGGATCTTCCCAGACCCACCGGATTCACTGCTCAGGTACTCACAGGAAGGCCCTGGGATGGGGGGGGGACACACACCTGTCGTCATGTATGTTCTATGTTGTTGGGGATGTGCCAGGCTGCAAGTCAGGTGCTGATCATCGCTCACCATAATGTTAGTGACAGCAACACTAAATGCTGAGTAATAATGACAGCTACAGCATTATGGTAGATAAACATGTAAATTCTGCTGAAAGATCCGGCCAGCTGTTCGCATCATAGAATTGGATGGAGCTTACTGAGGACTGCCCCCTGCACTAAATGTTGACTGCGTTTACATCTGTGCTGCACCCCGTGTGCTCCCTAACCTGAGATTCACCCATGCTACATTTAACTGTTTCGCACCTCCTGCATCGACAGGCATGTGCGTTCACCTCTGGGCTCAGCCGTCTATGCTGACTGGGAGTTGCGTTTACTTCTGTGCTTTTTCTGAGAAGAGCCCTTTGTGCCGACAGGTAACCACATTTACTGTGCCCTCCTGCGCAGAAAGGTAACTGTGTTCACCTCGGGGCTCCATCCCCGCCTTAGAACCGCTCCCTGTGCAGATAGGCAACTGCATTCACCTTAGGGCTTCATCCCCCTGCCAGAGAACCACCCTCTACACTGACAGGTAACTGCATTCACCTTAGGGCTTCATCCCCCTGCCAGAGAACCACCCTCTACACTGACAGGTAACTGCATTCACCTTAGGGCTTCATCCCCCTGCCAGAGAACCACCCTCTACACTGACAGGTAACTGCATTCACCTTCAGGGCTCCATCCCCGTTCCGAGAGAACCACCCCTATGATAAAGGGCAACTGCATCCATCTTGGGGCTCCATCGCCCTGCCTGAGAACCGCTCCCTGCGCAGACAGGTAACTGCGTTCACCTTTTGGCTCAGCCCCCTGCCTGAGAACAGCTCCCTGTGCAAATAGGTAACTGCATTCACCTTGGAGCTCCATCTTGTTGCTTGAGAACTGACTCCCTGCACTGAAAGGTAACTGTGTTCATCTCAGGGCTCCATCTCCTGCCTGAGAATCGCTCCTTGTGCAGATAGGTAACTGTGTTCACCTTGGGGCTCCATCCTGTTGCCCAAGAACCTCCCCCTGCAGTGATGAGTAATTGTGTTCATCTTTGGGCACCATCCCCCGCCTGAGAACTGCTTCCTGCACTGACAGGTAACTGCATTCACCTTCAGGGCTCCATCCCCCTTGACAGTGAACTGCCCCCCATGGGGACAGGTAACTGCATCCATCTCAGGGCTCCATCGACCTGCCTGAGAACCACTCCCTGTACAAATAGGTAACTGCATTCACCTCTTGGCTCAGCGTCCTGCCTGAGAACCGCTCCCTGTGCAGATGGGTAACTGTGTTCACCTGCATAGTGTTCACCTCAGGGGTCTATCCCCCGCCTGAGAACCGCTCCCTGTACAGATAGGTAACTCCACCCCCCTGCCTGAGAACTGCCCTCCTGCACTGACAGGTAACTGTCCTTTGCGCCCTCCTGCACTGACAGAACTGTCCTTTGCGCCCTCCTGCACTGACAGAACTGTCCTTTGCGCCCCCCTGCCTGCAGTGGTGTTTCAAAGTAGCACCGTTCTGATGCTTCAGAATTCATGTGTGTGTGCAATATAGGGGCTTGTACCGTTCAGTATGTATTGTGGGACAGTTTGGTACAGTGTGTAGTGTGGTATAGAATACAGTGTACGGATACTAATTTGCTCGCCCTCCTCTGCCCCTCCCCCCAGGACCCCCCATTTATTGCAGCATCACCTTCAGCTAACCTCCGCTTACACCCACTTCCTGCCCGCTAAAGACCGTCATGAGGTCACGACGTTCCCGCTGGGAATCGGCAGCACGGTGGACTACATCTTTTATTCTGCGGAGCCAGTTCCAATATGTAACACCAACCAGGGTGAGCAACACGCCAAGAACATGCCATGACCGCAGTGCGTTCTGTGTCCCCATCTTACATGTCTTTGTCCCCACCAGGTCTGCGCTTCTTCCAGGACAGCAAGCTGAAGCTGTTGGGGCGTCTGTGTCTGCTGACAGAGGACGATCTGTGGGCGGCGCAGGGACTTCCTAACCCCTTCTGCTGCTCCGACCATCTCTGCCTTCTTGCCCGCTTCAGCTTGGACCTCTCCACCCCATAACCAGAGTAAGGAGCTCCGCCCAGAGTCGGGACATTTCCCCGGTCTGTTTTTAATTTTCAACCCCCCCAATCCCCAGTAAGGTCCAGGGCCTTCACGTGGCACCATTTTCTGTTCCACACGTGCTGCTCCCTTACAGTGTATGTAAAATCTGTACATATAAAGAGGTTTTAGATGAGAGCAGAAGTTTGCAACGTGTGAATAGTTGTAATAAATTGTACAATACATTACCGGATCTTTTTTTCCATCATACAATGAACACACACACGGCAGATCTTCCGCTTTATTAGGATTCAGTGTAAAAGTGTTGGAATAAATAAATACCTGGAAAAGGGGTGAGCTCTCCGCCAGGCGTGGGTCACCTGGTGGCAGCGAGGCTGCTGTCCGCCAGGCGTGGGTCACCTGGTGGCAGCGAGGCTGCTGTCCGCCAGGCGTGGGTCACCTGGTGGCAGCGAGGCTGCTGTCCGCCAGGCGTGGGTCACCTGGTGGCAGCGAGGCTGCTGTCCGCCAGGCGTGGGTCACCTGGTGGCAGCGAGGCTGCTGTCCGCCAGGCGTGGGTCACCTGGTGGCAGCGAGGCTGCTGTCCGCCAGGCGTGGGGCACCTGGTGGCAGCGAGGCTGCTGTCCGCCAGGCGTGGGGCACCTGGTGGCAGCGAGGCTGCTGTCCGCCAGGCGTGGGACACCTGGTGGCAGCGAGGCTGCTGTCCGCCAGGCGTGGGACACCTGGTGGCAGCGAGGCTGCTGTCCGCCAGGCGTGGGACACCTGGTGGCAGCGAGGATGCTCTCCGCCAGGCGTGGGTCACCTGATGGAAGAGAGGATGCTCTCCGCCAGGCGTGGGACACCTGATGGAAGAGAGGATGCTCTCCGCCAGGCGTGGGTCACCTGATGGAAGAGAGGATGCTCTCCGCCAGGCGTGGGTCACCTGATGGAAGAGAGGATGCTCTCCGCCAGGCGTGGGTCACCTGGTGGCAGCGAGGATGCTCTCCGCCAGGAGTGGGGCACCTGGTGGCAGCGAGGATGCTCTCCGCCAGGCGTGGGTCACCTGATGGAAGCGAGGATGCTCTCCGCCAGGCGTGGGGCACCTGGTGGCAGCGAGGATGCTCTCCGCCAGGCGTGGGGCACCTGGCGGCAATGAGGGCGATAGGCTGGCACATGTGGCATGGTACTAAGGCAAAACTGCAAAGGATTATTTCTGACCTGAAGCCCCTCCCACAGTGGTCACTGATTGGTCACAGCCAGTCTTTCGGGGGGGGGGGGGGAAGGGTGTGACAATGTCCTCAGCTATACACATCACTTGGTTTGTAGTTCCGCCTCCGGCGGTCGTCACTTAGATCGTGAGCGTCCAGTGCGCCTTCCGTCCTGGGCCTGACACAAACAGGGCGGGGTCATCTACATCTAAAAGGGCGGAGTTCACATCCAGTACAGGGCGCTCACACCCGGATCTGGTACCCACTGAGGTCAGGTAAAGATTTGGGGTCAGAAGGTTTTTCCCCAGACGATCTGGTGAGAGAAAACAGAAGACCTGTTATACGATCGTGAAAAGTTTAAAATCTTCCAGACAACATCAATCATACTTTCTGTAACATTTTAATCCATATTTGCTGCTGGGTGTTATCACGGAACCTCTGTACTTCGCTATGGAATGTAGGCAGATGATGGCAGCAAGGTGCTGTACATAGCTTCCTGAAAATATCACAGCACCTTGCCTCAGTACTCGAGATGTCCTTACTCATTTCAGGTACTTATATAGCGCCGTCAATTTACACAGCACTTTACATATATATTGTACATTCACATCAGTCCCTAACCCTCAAGGGGTGTACAATCTAAGGTCCCTAACCCTCAAGGGGCGTACAATCTAAGGTCCCTAACTCACATTCATACATACTAGGGACAATTTAGACAGGAGCCAATTAACCTACCAGCATGTCTTGTCTTTGGAGTGTGGGCGGAAACCGGTGTACCCGGAGGAAACCCGCACAGGGAGAACATGCAAACTCCAGGCAGGTGGTGCCATGGTTGGGATTCGAACCAATGATCCTAGTACTGCCAGGCGGAAGCCTGTGCTCCCCATATGCAGACAGTGGGCTGGCTCTTGAAAGGAGTTATGGAAATATAAAATGCCTTGATGGGCGGGTGTCAGTGGGGAGGAGCGGGAGTTCCTAGACAGGTGGTATCTGCATACAGCCCACTCTAGGTGACACCCACATGTGATGCTGAGGCTCTTCAATGGTGCTGCACAGCCAAGGATAGGATCAGTCATTCCCAGGACTGCAGTCCTGGGGTATCATGAACCCGGGCCCGAATAGATTTCCTTTCACTTCTATCCTGGGGACACAACAAGAAGTGGGAAGAAACCTCTAGACATTAGGGGAATCCCTGCTTAGCTGGTACCTGAACAGGTGTCCCCATTGGAAGATGTCCACTCTATTCCTGTTTGGTGACAACTGTAACATTTTGGATCTTTCATCACTTCCTAACATCAGGGCAAATAGGGTGATTACCCCCCCCAGTGGGGACACAGACAGCAATACAAACCTGACAGAGGGTCTCACTCTTCCACACTCCATTCCAAGTACACATACACTAAGGGGTGTATTTATAAAGTACAGTTATGTTCAAAATAATAGCCGTCAGACATCACTAACCGGATCAATCACTGTTTTTGGTAGAAATGATATTTCTACATGGCAAATAATTTCCTAGCAGGTGTAGTAGAGTAATAGAAATCCAACAGACCCAACAGTCATGACATGCATGCTGCTGATTCTGTGTCATTGAATCACTAATTGAAAGGGAATGTTCAAAATAATAGCAGTGTGGAGTTCTATTAGTGAGGTCATTCATTCTTTGAAAAACAGGTGGCAATTATTGCCCTTATTTAAGGAAGGAAGGCAGCAAATGTTGGACATGCCAGTTACAGTGCATTTCTCTCTGAAATTCTGAGGAAAATGGGTCGTTCCAGACATTGTTCAGAAGAACAGCGTACCTTGATTAAAAAGTTGATTGGAGAGGGGAAAACATATAAAGAAGTGCAGAAAATGATCGGCTGCTCAGCTAAAATGATCGCAAATGCTTTAAAATGGCAACCAAAACCTGAAAGACGTGGAAGAAAGCGAAAAACTACCATTCGAATGGATAGAATAGCCAAAATGGCGCGGACTCAGCCAACAATCAGCTCCAGGAAGATGAAAGAAGGTGTGACGTTCCCTGTGAGGACTGTTACAATTAGAAGACGCCTATGTGAAGCCAAGCTATCTGCAAGAAGCCCCCGCAAAGTCCCACTGTTGGAAAAAAGACGTGCTGAAGAGGTTACAATTTGCCAAAGAGCACATTGACTGGCCTAAAGAGAAATGGCGCAACATTTTGTGGACTGATGAAAGTAAGATTGTTTTTTTTGGGTCTAGTGGCCTGAGACAGTTTGTCAGACGACCCCCAAACACTGAATTCAAGCCACAGTACACTGTGAAGACTGTGAAGCATGGTGGTGCAAGCATCATGATATGGGGATGTTTCTCATACTACGGTGTTGGGCCTATTTATCGCATACCAGGGATCATGGATCAGTTTGAATACATCAGAATACTTGAAGAGGTCATGCTGCCTTATGCTGAAGAGGAAATGCCCTTGAAATGGGTGTTCCAACAAGACAACAACCCCAAACACACCAGTAAACGTGCAACATCTTGGTTCCAGACCAACAAGATTGACGTTATGGAGTGGCCAGCCCAATCCCTGGATCTTAATCCAATAGAAAACTTGTGGGGTGACATCAAAAATGCAGTTTCTGAGCCAAAACCAAGAAATAGAGAAGAACTGTGGAATGTCGTCCAATCATCCTGGGCTGGAATACCTGATCACAGGGGCCAGAAGTTGGGTGACTCCATGCAACACAGATGTACAGCAGTTCTCAGAAACAGTGCGACTACAACCAAATATTCATGAAGTCATTCAAAGGAAAGCAAAATCTTCAAACATTTTTCAGTTTATATAGTGAATGTTTGAGTTTGTAAAGAATACAAACACTGTGATTTTTTTGAACCGTCTAATATTCACTTTTCTTCAATTTTTTTTTAGAGGAACAACACAAATTTGATCTATTTTTCTTCATGTTTTGATTTGGAATAGAATGTGTCGTGTTCCCAATGCATTTGTGTGGATGGAAATAAAAGCGATTAGAAGGATTTTCAGCTTTATTCACTTTTTTCAACACACTGCTATTATTTTGAACACAACTGTATATATATGGCTATCCATCCAGTGAACTCGTGTGAGCGAATTAACCAGACTGTTGTGAGAACTGGGTAAGATCAAACGTTCTTCAGAACAGGAATAGAGGGCAAATCTTCCAATAGGGACACTACCCACATGGAAGAAAAATATATTTTAAAAATATTCTTCCCAAATATATTGACATATATTTGAAATGCTACAATTTTGCCCATATTCAATATATTTGAATAAATATATATATTGTATGTCGAAATGCTTTATTACAAAATATGAAAAATATTTTTAAAAATACATTTTCAAATATATTGTATGTCTTTAAAAATACAAATCTACATTTTTGGAATGCATTTACAAATATATGTAAAAATGTGTTAAAATTACTTTTTTTTATATATATGTGTGTATATATATATATATATATATATATATATATATATATATATATATATATATTAAAAAAACATTTGAAGAATATATTTAAAAAAAATATATATTTTTTAAAAGATTTCTGTTTATATATTCTTCAGATTTTTTTTACCATATAAAAAAGTAATTTTAACATATATTTTTACATATATGTTAAAAAATATATATTTTTTTAATATATTTTTCAGTTTTTTTTTTTTTAACATAAAGTAATTTTAACATATATTTTTACATATATGTTAAAAAAAAAAAAAATCTGAAGAATATCTCAAAAAAATCTTTTTTAAATATATTTTTCAGATGTTTTTTAACATGTTAAAATTACTTTTTTAGATTACATTTTTGGAATGCATTTACAAATATATGTAAAAATATATAAAAAAAAGTAATTTTAACATATGTTAAAAAACATCTGAAGAATATATTTAAAAAATATTTTTTTGATATATTCTTCAGATTTTTTTTTTTTTACACATATATGTAAAAATATGTTAAAATGACTTATGTTAAAAAAAAATAAAATTCTGAAGAATATATTAAAAAAATTTTTTTTTTTAACATATATGTAAAAATATGTTAAAATTACTTTTTTATATGTTAAAAAAAATCTGAAGAATATATAAAAAGAAATCTTTTTAAAAATATATATATTTTTAAATATATTCTTCAAATGTTTTTTTAACATAAAAAAAAAAGTAATTTTAACACATTTTTACATATATTTGTAAATGCATTCCAAAAATGTAGATTTGTATTTTTAAAGACATACAGTATATTTGAAATGTATTTTAAGAATATTTTTTATATATTTTGTTCTCTCTCTCTCCCATATGGGTAGCTCTGGTGACCATCAGGGATTTCATCACTTTGGAGGGATTTCTTCTATTTTAGCTATGGGACAAGAAGTGAAGGGAAATCTCACATTCTTCAAAATGTTACAACTTTAATTGTACTGTTTTTACCATTTAATGTACTGTAATGTGTTGCAGTTTTGCTGGCCTCGTTAGATCACAACATGGTCTCATGAAGCCAGATAGTGTAGACTATGGGTGTATTTCCCTGCCTGAGAGATACTCCAGCCGTGTACGGGGCCCATAGTAATGAATATCTGTATGCGGGTACTGGGCTGTACCTGTGTAGACTCACACACAGGACAGGCGGGAATCCCTGAATGTGACTCGTGTGCATGTTCAAGCAAGTTTGGCATGTACCCGTGTACACCCTTCATACTCATTAACAGGAGGGGGTGTGTACACTGCAAACACGTCTCTCGGGCCGCAGTTTAGGTTGTAGAGCACGAGGAAAGAAAGTTGCTAATCTGCTTTCAAGGTTGTAGCAGACTTTTTCCATTCAGCACAGCTGCACAATCTCACAATAATGGTGCCAGTCTTAAAGTACATGCAAACCCTCACCTTGTAAAACACACATTCCATTTAAAATAGAAAAAAGGTCAAACATTTGTGTGTATAGATATATAAAAAAAAAAAAAAATTATAAATACCTCCACCCCCCCCCCTTTTTTTTTTATATAAGTGATAACACACCCTCTTCTCTCAGCAGAGAACCGAGGGAGGAAAAACAGCAGCACACCTGTCTTCCCTGTGAATGGCTGTGGTGGGGAAGGGGGGGGGGGGGGGGTGAGGTCAGGACATATCCGACCATTGGAAGACAGCAGGCTGAGTTTCCAGC